AACGCGTTCGGTCGTGGTGGTCGCATCAAGCACGCCGAGTACTACCAGTGTGGCAAAGGACGTGATCTCGGTTTCGGCACCATCCTCAACTTCCAGACAAAGAGCGGCATGGGTATGGGCGAGCAGATGCTCAGCCCAGAGTACTACTACCTCGGAACGCAGCTGCCCATCGACTGTTTCCTGATGTTCTACTACGGTCATCCCGGTTTCCATATCCATAACATGCTGGTTATGTTGTCCGTGCAGATCTTCATCACGACGAGTAAGCAGGCCCCGTTGTTCACTGCAACACATAGCTGACTCTTCATAGTGGTCTACCTCGGAACGCTCAAGGGTCAACTGACGCTTTGCAAATACACATCGTCCAGCGCGTTCATCGGCGTGGCGGGCTGCTACAACCGCAGCCCGGTGTTCCAGTGGATTAATAGGTGTATCATCTGTATCTTCCTGGTGTTCCTGATCGCATACTTGCCTCTGTTCTTACAAGGTATGATCATTTCAACGCATTCTCATTTTTGAGTAGGATTAGTATGAGTCTGCCATGTACAACGTACAACTTAGATAGACTATGAAATATATCAATATTTACTGAGCTCAATCCCAAGATGCTCAAGATGTAGAAGGATTTAGCCTTACTTGGGCTACCTGTAGTGGCTTGGTGAGAACAGCGAAGGACACCAGACATGCTTGAAGAAGTAAGATGGAATAAGAAAACGTCTTGAAAGGCTTATAAGTGACTCAAGTCATACAGATTAGCTGGGCGACCTGGTCAAGTCACCCAAGCAACACCAATATCCCATTTGCCTTGGTCAAGCCGGCCAAGTAAAATGTGTTTTTCCTGATGAAGCAGGCAGAGCAGGAGCCGGGATGCCAGAAGGAGATGCAGGACGCGGAGCTGCGCGCATACGATCCAGTGTACGATCGAGGCGCGAGACAAAAGGGACCCCCGAGGCGGCAGCACCCTTTTGGGACGGCATGGGCAGTCGAGAGGAGCGACGGACAGGAGGCGACTGAGGACGAGCGACAGGAGGCGGCAGCACCGGAGGAAGTGCAGGAGGCGGCTGGTTCACCGCTGGCATAGAGGGCGCAGACGGCAGCGGCGCGACGTCGGCCACAGGAGGATCCACCGGAGGAGCCACGAGATCGTCATCGGAATCGACAACATCAGACAGAACGGGGGCAGGAAGTGCACGGACAGGCGATGGTGGGGACGACGAAGGGGCCTCATGCGACTCGATGAAGGACACATGGAAGGACTCGACAACTTTGTGGGTGCCGCGGTGGTATAGCCGATACGTCTTCGAGTGTTGTCCATACCCAATGAGAACGCATTCCACTGACCGCTCGTAAATCTTCGGGTTGTGCCTGTTCTGAATGAGCACAAATGCCCTACAGCCGATCTCGCGCAAATGCGACAAGTCGGGCTTCTTCCCGTGCCACATCTCGTAGGGCGTGACGCCAGGCGGCAGTGAGCGAGAAGGAGTTCGCACTGACAAGTAGTTGGCGGTGACAAGGAACTCGTCCCAGCGGTTCGGCGGGGCGTCAGCAGCCAGGCGCATAGCACGCGCGCGGTCCATCAGTGTGCGGTGGAACCGCTCGATACGACCATTCTGTGCGGATGTGTGCGGCGCGGTGGTTCGCCATTGCGAGCCGCGACTCTCGATCCACGCTTTGAACTCGTTGGAGAGAAGTTCGCCGTTGTCGATCTGCACGACGCCCAGACGTTCGCCAGTTTTGACCTCACGAGCTAGGACCCATGCTTTGAAGCGGTCGAGAATGACCTTGGATGGCACAGGAACAGCCCATGTGTGGGACGTGAAATCATCGAGAACGTTCATAGAATACAAGTTCCCAGAGGCGGAACGCACGTCCTGCTGCCCCTGCACGTCCACGAACACCGTACCCAGGACCCTAGTTGCCTTTTCCCCCACCCGCACCTTCGGAACCGCACTTCTCGTCTGTTTGCCGAGAATGCAATGTTCACATTTCGCTGGTGGGGAGAGGATGATGGGCATACCTGTGACCGACCCGAGACGAGCCATGTCGTGAATGGTACGATGGTTGACGTGGCCCAGGCGGCGGTGCCAGACTTCGAGCGTCGGGACCCGAGCCGAGTACATGGTGTGCTCCGTGGAAGGAGGAGCACCGTCGAGAGAGTAAAGGCGCTTGGACGTGAGAGTGCCGGAAGCCAAGATGGCCCCGCCCGGCTTGAGGATACGAACACCGGTGTTGGTGAAGAGCACGGAGTACCGAGTTGCCGAGCTGCATAGAGCCGAGATGCTAATCAGGCGAACCGTAGCCTGCGGCACATAGAGGACGTTGTCGAGAACGATGGAAGCGCCACGGCCAATGTGCAGGCGGACCTTGCCAACGCCGCATGCGAAGATGACGGAGCCGCTGACGCCACGGATGCCGCGCGGAGCAATCGGACGAAGGTCGTGGAAGTCGGCCTTACGAGGAGACAAGTGCGTGGAGGCGCCTGAGTCGAATACGAAGGGCTCAGTCCCAGCAGTAGAGACATGGCGAGCAGCCACAGGCACTGGAGCCACCGAGAAAGCCGTGGGATCAGACGGAGCCCGAGAGTGTGAGGACCAGTTCAGAGAGACGGCCTCTTCGTCTTCAACAGACACCAGAGCGTCGTACTCGAAGAGGTCAGCCGGCACAGCAACAGACGCGAGCCATTCGGGAGACGCGTCAGTCGTCAGCCCAGCGAAGTCGGACTCGGACGTGGCGTCATCAGCCTGAGAGGTAGAGGACATGGATGCCGGTGGGACCGTGCTCAAGAGATAAGCGTGGCCGGTCTTACCATCCACGATGTACGCCCGCCCCATCTTGTCACGGTCGGTCCCCGAGGCGGCGCCGGAGCTAGCCTTGCCCGGTCCCTTCCCCTTTTTCTTGTTCGCCAGCACCTCCTCTCGACGTCCTTCCATTCCTCCACCCGGAGCCCAGCATTCCGGAGCGGTATGACCGTTCGGACGCGGGCACTTAGCGTTGGTGCACGTCTTCTGCGACGGCACCGACTTCCCGGGCTTCGAGTAGGCGGCGAGAGCCGTGGCGGACGAGGACGCCTTGTTGTCCGAGATGATGCGCTGCTCGAGATCGAGGCGCTCGGCGATGTCGACGGAAGTGTAGGGGACGCCCGAGGTGACTGAAGTCGTGAGGGACGTACCGACTTGCGATTGGAGGTGGCTAAGGTAGCCGTTCATCGCGTTGAGCATTCCTATGGTCATGAAGACCTCGATGTTGGGGATGCCGATATGGAAGATACGTTCCGCGAGCTCCTGGAGTCGCGTCATCAGGAAAAACCCATTTCTCTTGAGTGCACTTGTAAGGAATATGCCATACTTGCCAAGTAAATATGGGATTTCCCTGTTCTTTCAAGTGCACCAAGGATGCCAAAAGCCTCTCATGTCATAAAAGCTACCCACTAACCTTGGGTCCCTTGTCCACGAGTGCACGCTTACCTTTACTGCTTGAAACAAGTTAAGAAAGTGCATCAATGTTACCTACGTGGTTCTATGCTGATTTTGTTGGTATGCTATAGGAAGTCTCCCATTGACCACACTATTCTATTAGCAGTACATTGCCAGTACTAGGGACCACAGGCTGTTGCCCACCTGCTCATCTATCCTACACACCAATACACGCCAGACATCCAAGTCTGTCCTCTTACCCGCGCTGACAACCACGCCTTCCTGCTGGCTCACTTTCACGTTGGCCGCCTCGTCGAGCCGGGAGCGAAGACACTCTGAACTCCGCACGACGGCCTCCCGAAGCTCGGCGCTCCGCTCGTCAATGCCACCAGAGAAGACGATTGCGTCCGCCCTCCCGCCCAGCCTCCTGTCCACGACTCGGAACAGATCAAACTTGAGCTTCCACGTGGCCTTGCTCTGCCAGTCCACGACATCCCTGCCCTTCATTGCCCCCTGCTGCTGCAAGTGCTCCTGCATGTTCTTCACGACCTCATTGAAATCCGACGTCCCGGTGAGCGCCTTCCACCCCGACTCGGTGTTGAGGATCTCCTCGGCCTGCGTGACACGCACGTCGACAGTTTGGTCGTGGGTGATCCATACAGCGCGGTTCCTGTAGTGGAAGATGAGGGACAAGTCGACAAGCCCGCTACGTGTCGCGCCCGGGAGGCCAGAGACGGGCGTGAGCCCCATGGACGTATCGAGAGACTGTCCGTTCCGGATGGCACAGATGCTGGCCCCGGAACCGAGGTGCATGACGATGAGGTTGAGAGCGGACGTGTCCTAGGCGAATGTGAGGTTGCAGTTTAAGTACACCGAGCAGATGACACACCTTTTGCAGATAATGACCAACAGCACCGAGGATGTATGCATCTGGGGACGTGGCTCAATGGTGACATTCAACGCAATGGCTCTCGCACTCACAACTCGGGCCACGGAAGCCGTACTTCTTCCGTCCGCGCTTATGGGCAACCTCCGGATTGATCGCATAGCGAGCGACGTGCAGGGGTATCGACCTGTGGAACGAGGTATCAAAGTATGCGATAGAGCTCGCCTTCGGAAGAGAGTCGATGGTGCTCTTCATGACTGAGAGCGCAGCGCCGTTGTGGCTGCATAGACAATCACTCGCACGTCCGTACGTATCGAACAAGCGAACTACTCACAGTGGAGCGAGATCAGACAGGTTCTCAATATGTTGGTAGCTCTCCGAGTTGATGATTACAGGCTCAAAGTAGTCACCGCCATGCACGACACGATGGCAGACGTGCACGATGGACTCCCGTTTGATCTTGCTCTCGTTCTTCAGATGCTCGAGGAAGTAGGCGAACGCAGCTGCGTGGTCCTTGATCCTGTCTACAGACTCTTTCTTTGCCTCGCGTCCTTCATTGTGAGACGCGAGTTTGAAGGTGAAGGAGGCGGTTGGTGACGAGATGTTCGTGATGCTAGACGTCAGGAGCAGCTCGACGACGTCCTGTCCTGAGCTTTCCGCACGTTCGTCAGCGCGGCGGTAGAGGGATATCTTCAGGAAGACGACCCACATTCACGGCGAGGATGAGACCGCTCTTCGGTGGGCGATGCTCGGGCATGGCTGGTGTTGCGTTGTTGAGTGCGTGGAGACGTCGCTCAGCGTTGCGTACCTCTTATGCTGATGACTGCGACCTAATGTCACTGCAGCACGCGTCCAGCATGCGCGAATGCGTGGACTGCAGTATGTACGTCGAGATGCTCATCCAGCACGGTGGATGTGAGAGGTGATGGCTGCCCACTGGCAGGGCTGATCCGGTGCCGCTGCGGACACCGGCTGGGGGATTGGAAGACTGTCAGTAGCGATGAGACGGTTCATGGCACCTGAGAACTTACGAGGGGAGGGGGGACCCCGGAGTTGAGGTTGGGCGAGTTCGGGACATCAGCAACGACAGACCGGTTGACCGCCTCGCCGGTGAGGATGGAGACCGCGATGACGGGGCTGCGTGAGTAAGTTGCAAACTCGACGATGAGTAGAGAAGCACTAGTGCGTGTTGTCATCTTGATCTTCGTCGTTAGTGTGTACATCAAGCTTAAGGTTCGGCGCACTCACACAACTGTGTCAAAAAACGCCAGACGCGCAGCGATACACGGCCAACGTGTTGCCGTATGTAGCATCAGGTATGACATATAAGTCGTCCCGAGTGACGGAAGTGCCGTCTTCTTGGCCAGCAGGGCCCACGACGGACATCTCAGTCGTCGATATATGCATGCTACGACTGGCGACGGTCCCAATGGCGGCGGCGGGTACATCTAGTAGGGGCATACCTTACAATATCGAGTCTTCGCTCTTCTCTACGCGCTCTCCTCTCATCCTTCTCCTTCCAGGTTCCTTGTGGGTCGCACGGTCGCCTCGGTCGACACTGCACTTGTGCGCGCGTTGTACAAGTCTTGGTCGCATGACTGACTTGCGTACCAGCAGATTCGCGTGGGCGCTACCAGACGTTGCCAGAGCCGAGTGGTAGAGCAAGGAAGAAAACAAGAGGGTGGCCAGGTGAACGTTGAGTGGCCGAGAGAGGTGATGGTGGTCTTGTACCACTTCCAGCGGTGCCGGATGGAGCGGGTAGCAGAATGGCTGGCAGTGATCATTCAGCTGAACAACTCTAGATCTGTGCTCGCGGGCTGGTTGGGACGACACTAGTGGCTTGACATTCTGCGACTCGAAATTGGCTGGTTGACGACAGAGCAGGCGGTCAGAAGACAGAGACGGGAAGATAACTCAGAGGGCGGGCGAGTGGGAGAGAAACTGGACAGGCGAGAAAGTGGGATGCCGGGCGAGAAGGCAGCCGGGCAAACAGGCAAGAACGCAAGCAGAGAGGCGAGAGGAAAGGCAGGAAAGCCAGAGGGCAGGTCGACCGTGGTGCGAGTTAGCGGTTTATACAAGTGCGAAGCGCTCACTTCAGCGAATGATTGCAGTAAGATTGCAGCCACTAACACGGTACACTTATACTTATTTATGGATGATTCTTGCTGCTCCGAGATCTCTCCCTTGCGTCTGCCTTCTGCCTCTTCTCCTCGATATCATCTTTGTCTCGCCCTCGCGTACCTACCGCGGATCTTCAGGACATGCAGACGGGCCCATCTGCAAGAGACGGGGTGTGTACATTGGGCTGGCACATAACCTTCAGGCTGCGTGAGCCGCAGCTTGTAGGAGCTTCAGCGGTGCACCAAGAGCATCGCTGGAGGCGCATAAACCAGGTGAGTGCCCGCTAGTCCGGCTCGACAGCCCCGATATCAGCTTGATGAGCCCGCCGCATACAAGCCTGCTTGCTTCGAGCAGAGTGAGCTGTATGGCTATCTACACATCGTCAACAAGCAACATCATCGAGGGGCTAGGAAAGCCCGGGCCTCCTCCCAAGCCGTCCGCTCCCGCTCCCTACCCTTCTCGCGCCCTCTCCGAATCTCCATTGATTTCTCTAATCCATCACCCATCCCTCGCGCCACGCCTTCTCAGTCTCCGGAGGCGGGTCCTCCCCCTCCACCGTCCTCGGCAGCACGTCCTCCGCAAACTCACCATCCACCTGCGTCCCCCCCACCGATGTCGACGTCGCCGATGGGCACGGTCTTGACGTCCTCGCCGGGGGAACGCGTCGCGCATGATCGTGTCCGTGACCGCACACACATCCATCATCACGCCTGCGAGCACGCCACGCGCGCCCACTGCTGCCCACTCGCTCACGGAGAAATTCGCACCGTCCACCCCACCGTGTCGAGCACCCGCCCGCCGAGCGTGCGCAGGTGTCCCAGCGCGGGATCGTACCATGGAGCGCTCGGCTCCGCGCGGTGCCCGAGCGAGGTCGCCACGAGCGATGTCGGGAGCGTGGACGTCTCGCCCGTCGGCACCGCGCGTGTGGAGGGATCGAGCATCGTGTGCACGAGCGTGAGGTGGGCGGCTGCTCTCGCCTGCTTTGTTCTCTCAATTGCTGTTCCACCTGTTTCACGGGTGAGTCCGCATGTTCACCTGCCTGCTCTCCGGCATGTCCGCTTGCCCGTTCGCCGCTCCTCAGCTCTCCCGCTCATTCTTCCGCTTGCTCGTTCGCCCGCTTACCTGTCCACCCACCTACTTGGCTGCTCGCTCGCCCGTCTGCATTTCCCCCGCCTAATCCTGCGCCGTCATGGACCGTCATAGATAGTTAATGTTCTCTACCGTACAACTAATATATTTCATATGATGTTGCTTCTACTATGCGTGCTGCCGACGACTGTGAACGACCGATAAGAGCAGTGTATCATTATATTGTGTGCCCGGAAAGTATAGTACGACTACTCTACCACAATGTCTGGTAGGCATATTTACTAGCCCAATTGTTCAGTAAAAATCGGGAGGCACGATCAAGCACCGAGTCTGAGGTCCAGTTGTGTACAGAAGCATCCTCGTAGTCTACTGTAGCCTGAGGAGCATTCGCGGTAGCGCGAGAGACGGTACTAGGAAAGCGCGGTATCAACTGACATGACTGACGAATAGAACTCAACGGCACGATTTCTCCGGTGGGGTGTCCATTTGCACGAACGGGCATCTTGTTGACCTCGTACATCATGTGCACTGGATCAGCACTCGACGCCAATTTACCGTACCATTCTATGTACGCTAGAGGTCCCCCTTGCTCCCATGCCGCAGGTGCGTGAATTTCCTGTAGTGTTTGTACGTCGTGGATTTTCTTTGGCAGTCGGAAGATTACACGCAGCCTGCCTATCCGCGTCCCTGCAGAGTTGGTACATATATGTTAGACAATCACCCATGTGTTTGCTCACAATAAAACAGAACTTACCTTGCATTCCAGTGGCTTCTCCGTCCTCCCCGCGCAAGACCACCACCGTGTCGAATCTGGCTGGCTGGCTTCCACCAGCCGGCCTTGCCTTGACGCTATCCCTCTCCTCCTTGTTGTCGGAGAGGGATGCGACTCTGAACTTGAAGCCGTGGAACACGTCCAGACGGGCGAACGGGAGGTAGGTACTCGCCTTCTCTAATTCTTTGGGACTGAGTGGGCGGCCTAGCTTCAGCGAGTACACGTATTGGGAGAGTGCGGAGGAAAATCCAGGTGCGTTGTGTTTCTCCTCGACGGAAAGCAGGGATTGCCGGGATACGGAAGGGTGTTTGGGTAGCTGGATACCGGGGGTATGATGTTTGCCTCCGTGCGCGTCGCGGGCACCGAACTCGCTGGAGCTCTCAGCGTCAGCGTCAGCGTCGGAATCGTTCGTGTCGGTGCCGAGTCTGCGCTGAAGCGTATCGTACATCGAAACCTTCTCGCGGCGTTCGAGCCACTTGATCATCTGGGGCCGGGCGTCACGGTGGTTCGATGCACGCCATGCTTTCTTCGCGAGGTCGATATGGAGCCTTTCGAACATCTCGGTATTGAAGTTGTCGGTGGTCCCGAGGTTCCGGATTGATTCGACGTAGTGCAGGAGTGAGTGGATCTTCGGTATGTTCATATGTTCGCGTACACCGAGTTCCTTTAGAATGTGCTTGTTTTGATGGAATACCTTCAGGGATTCTTCCATGTAACCCAGTGTCGTATCGTCGTGAGTCGGATACTGAGCGAGATAAATGAAATCAAGAAGGGAACGGAAGGTGAGCATGGCTGCCTTGGGAACACGTCCGACAAGGCACCCTAGGAGGACACGAGCGATGTCCTTGCGTTCCCCCCAGAGACCTGGGACAGCGCAGAGATCCCATTCTTGAAGTGCCGCGTGCCGTACGCAGGCGGAAGGGAGCGTATACGCTGATCCAGCTCCTTGGGGTCCATGATTTCACCGCACCACTCCAGAATGTGCTTGAATACACCCTGGTATAGCTGGTGTAGCACGTCTGGAGTGATGCATGAGTGAATATTAGTGAACGGTAGGTCCTTCCAGAATGGATTGATGGCGTAACCCGATACGTTGTACTCCTTGCAGGCAGTGGAGAAGGCCGCTGAGTCTCTGCCACCCTTCTCCCTGGCTTTACGGAGTACATCGAGGGTCCATATCTGCGTGCGTGGTATTCGCGCAGCAGCATCCTCGAGCCCAGTTTCGGGACACTGACACACAGGGCATGTACCGTACTTGGCGCACCCGACCAAACACTGCTCAGGGTAGTCAGCGACGTAGGATGCTAGGATTGGATGAACTCGTCGGATTTTTCCATCGCCGCCCGTCACGTCAACACCCTCCTTGCCAGCTTGGACAAGAGGTTCCAAAATCATCCGGATGGACGCGTGGAACAATTGCTGAACCAAGGCCCTCTGCTTTCTCTCAGTGAGGCCGGTTGAGTCGACCTTGTCGACGGAGAGGTAACCGATCAAGATGCATGCGTGCTCAGACGGCTTACGGCGTAATTCTTTAGGTATGTTGCCAAGAGTCATGTAGACTGGATAAGCGGCCTTGCTGCCCGAGAATTGGGTGAGTTGAGTCTTGTCGGTTGCAATGATGACTGGTGCTACGGCTGATCCACTAGGGAGGAGGCTCTGGTTGTTTGTACTATTCTGAGTAAAATAGAATGAGTGTAGTAGGCGGACGTACTTACCTGAACCGCGTTCCACCATTTTCCAGTCCACATCTCCGTATAAATTCGATTCTTACGCGTAGAGTTTGAGAATATCCTACTGGGCCGGTAAACGATGCGGTCCGCGTGAGCTGGGTTGCCTAGCAAGGCCTTGATGGCCTGTATGATGTCGCGGAATTGGACAAGGTGCGTCTCACCAGGCCGATCCTTGAATGAGATCCATCGCTCCTGCCAACCAGCCCTCTCCGGGATGGCATCGACTTTCTGTAACAGTGCTCTATTGTTGTGGTATGACAAGCCTAGCTTATCTTTAACCTGACGTGTACATTGGGTGAGCTTCTCCGAGTCCAGTCATAGAGATACAATAATACTTACTTGAGGTATGCGCAGAAAACGATCCACAGCACCTTGCCCTATCCCCTCCTTGATGAACCATTTGGCTATCTCCCAGTCCGTCTCGCCACTGAATGGATCCCATACCGCACCCGCAGACGTGTGGTCTTGCACATCTACAAGTTTGTCAGGATGAGCAAAGTACTTCAAGATCTAGACAAATGGGTACTCACCGGCACCGGCACCTTCGGTCTCACGGGAGAAGTGTTTTCTCCACATCTCCCTGACCGTCTCTCCCTCACCCTTGACTTTACCAGCATCCCTATTTACTTCTTCAACCCGTTCGTCTTCATCGTCATCCAGTGAGACGGCCGTACGCCGTTTTGGTGCTGACGGTGAAGACGTGGATGGTGCGGAAGATGTTGATGCGACGCGGCTGGGTCCAGCAATAGGAACGAAGTGATATAACTCGTCGTATTCCTCATCTTTGTCGCTCTCTTCATCGCTTTCTTCTTCTGACTGCTCTTCATGACCGAAATCTGTAGATGTGTCATAAGCGCTGACTCATACACAGACTGCGTGAATAGCTCACCTTGAGAATACTGTACGTCTTCGTGACTTGAATCGTCTATGCTATGCTCGCGTTGTGGAGTAGAGTGCCTTATCTGCGGTCAGTTAAACAACATTAACACACAATACAGATTGCGCACCTTGACCGGTCCTCAATTTCCTCAATTTCATCCCCAGATGCGTCGGACAGAGGCTCCTCGTCCCGGTTAAGTTCCCGCAGCTTTCCCTTCTTGTACCACGCACAACTGCGGCTGGTAGATTGATGGGAAATGAGGCCTTGCATGCTGTCGAATGGTCGGTTGCATGCGTCACATGTTGGGCCCAACAAGTCGGCCAAAGAAAATAACCGCCTCTTAGGCATCCCTGACGCATATTTGAGGCTCTTCCAACGGTAAGAGAGCGGTTTTGACTCACCGGTGCAGTGTCAGGAGCGAATACAGAGTGGAAAAAGCTGAAGGTAGGGTTTTTTGGGGAAAAACCGAGCGGTGAGGGACGTGTCAGTGTTGGAGTGGGACCCCCTGCATTCCTTTCTCGCTTGCGCAAGAGTCCCAGCTGATCTTGACAGGCAGCGCTCGTTTGGGCGTTCTCTCAGGCGCCTTGTTTCTCTCTCTCTTCTGCTCCTTGCCGCAAAGCCATACATACAGTGCGTAGATCTAGTGGGCCTCTCTACTTACCTGTGCCTTTTGCTCACCACAACAGAACCAGCGATCTCCAGTGAAGCTCGTTGCATTGACGGTCTCAAGCATAGGGCCTAGTATAGTGAGTTTGTCTTCATGGCTCCTATTACGTTGTCTGACTTATTTCTGTCTGACTCAAAGCCAACGCCGGTGTTGTCCATATACTAGTATATTAGGTGAGTTCAAAGATACGCTAGAGCACATTTCCGATCAAATGGGACATGCCGTTGTAACATATTCCTTGCCTGCACGAGTACGAGTACGCGCGTTCACGCCTATCTTGTACCACCCCCATCCCTGCCCATGCTATTATTAGCATGTCCCGATCTGGACCGCGCGGTGACCCCGCGCCGTCCAAATCGGGACTAGTACCAGGGCGGCCTTTCCATGTGCATCGTCGGATGGCATTGCAAGTAACGGTCCCCGGCTGTAACCGGGTCACTTGACCTCTGAAAGGGGCCGCATCGTCCCGGTTACATAACGGCACGATAAGTGTGTTCCCTTTGCGTTACAGCGCTGCCTCCCTGAGTCATGCAGGTCCCCGCTCATTCCTTCGCCCAGGCGTACAACGGCCTCAGCCCTCGGGACGAGTGCCCCTCTGTGCACCCCGGCTCTCCGGATTTTCAGTTTTCTGCAACGGACTCGCACTTCGGGGGGAAGTACAGCATCTTTACAGAGCTTCCAATTACACGTAAGTTCCCGACTCCTGAGTCCGTCAGCTTAACCACTACTGACTGTTGAGCAGCGCCCCCCCTTCTGATATCACATCGAGCGACGACGAAGAAATTAACATTGAGGTGCTGCACAACTGGCCCATCACTCGACGGGTCTTTGGCGCATTACTGCAGGACCCAGAGTTTCCAAAAGTCTACTGCCACGCCAGGGTAAGTATATATTCGGTTGCGTTGTATGTATACGATTTAACTGGCAGTGCAACATCAGGAAACCAGGCTTTCACCGCAAGAGTGGGTGCAGCTAAGGGGGTTCCTCATCCACCATTCGAATCTCCTCCGTTATTTTTGGTAAGCTTGAATTTGCGGTGTTCACGGTTCATAGCAGCTTAAGAATCTCTCATGCAGGTTCGACTACGATATGACCACCAACCGCCTCATCTCCGGGTCCCCCGGGCCCCTTCATCAAGTCATACTCCCAATGATCGACACCATGTTGATCGAGCCGGTGATCACGCCATGGATGGATCTACTCCGCGAGCACCTCGTCCACTCGACGCTGCAGAGGCTTACGGACAACACCGTGATCTCGGCGGGGCAATTGACGGTGCCTGACCTCACGATCAGGTTGGTTTTCAGACCGAAGGTGGCGAGGACGAGGCAGTACGACTTTGACCTTCTGTCGGTGGAGAATGCGCACACCCAGTCCCGCAAGGCGGTCTTGGAGAAGGTAAGTGACCTGATCATTTTACCTCACGCTGGCTCACTGGACCGGCAGACGGCGAAGCGCATGGTCATCAGCACGGACCAGCACACCCCATGCGTGGTTGTACCTGCCGAGACCGAGGCGGCAGCGGGGACGGCGGCAGCGGAGGCGGCGGCGAGCAAGGGTGCGGATAGTTCTGGTTCGGATGCGGGTTCGGGTTCAGGGGGTGGATCGTCGCTCTCGGCACTCACGTCGCTCAGTGATGAGGGGTCCCAGTCTCAGGCTGGAGCCGGCGGTGCAGTTTTCGACGCACACGGTGAACTCTCCGACTTGTCGTCTCTCACCCTTTCGCAGCCAGGAGCCGGCTCACAAGTCGACGACGGGGCGCCAGCGGGAGAGAAGAAATCAGCTCCGAAGATATACCTGGCGTCAGCGCATGTTGTCGTGATCATCGACGAGATGACACCTGCGCAGACCAAGAAGGCTCTCGGGGATACCTTCCACCCTCCCACCGGCAACATTTTGCAGGAGCTCCCTCTCCCAGACGACTGCGTCTCCGGTGGGTGGGCACACAAGGGCGAGATCTATGTCGGGCGTACGCACGCGTATCTGATGGCGTTCCAAGGGCCTGCCGACGGCAGGCTCTTGATGACGAGGGCGAGATCCTTCACGATGAAGGACTGGGTAGACTGTTACAAGGCCCTGGTAAGTAGTTGAACACAACTCAATATCAGCATCAATGGTTGACGTTTGTATGCAGCCCGTGCGATCAAACTGGAAGACGGCCTCGGCGGCGGAGCTCGCACAACGCGACCTCTTCTTCTCCGAGACATGGGACCCCATCATGGGGGAGATGCGACATCAAATCTTCAAGCATGCGGTCCTGTGCCTGGACTGGCTACGCCATGACCGGGAAAAGATCAGGCGACTTGGTGAGCAGGAGGACGTCTTCAATTTTCGGGAGCCATCCATCAGCGATCCATCCGCCGTGATGTTCGCTGAGCTTCGCGACGCCGCGAGGGACTCGGCGCTGGAGCGCATAGCCAAGGGCCAACCCGACGAAGTCCAGACGGCCCATCAGAGCTACGCCGCAGTCCCCTTGCAAGAAGCTCTTGCGCACAGCAGACTAGTCAGGAAGCACGTTGAAGACAAGAACTACGACGAGGCCGACAGGGAGCTCAAGAGGATGTGCTACGGGGAGACGGTCCCTGACGACATCGTGCCCGATTCGGACCCGGAGGCGCAGGGGGATATATCGTTCTCCAGCGATTCTTCAGGGCCTAGCGACCTGGCCCAGGACTCCGACTACGATCCGAAGGGGTATGGCAAGCAGAAAGGCGTCAATCGTCGTCGCTGAGCGATCTCGCGTGAGCTCTCTAGAGCATGTACAACATCTCGGTCGTCCGGTTTCACGTCTTGTGTGTTCAGCTCGGTTCGTTGTCGTTCGTCATAGTTATGCCCGTGTTTTGTCATAGTTATGCCCATGTTTTGTCACCGCGCTCTCGTATCGTTCTCGTACCGCCTTCGCACCGCTTTGTACATTTTCCGTACGGCTTGTCATGTAAAATTCACCATCGCCACTACTACATCTCAATGAATATGTCTGTCATCCATATACCATCCGGCCCCCCGCGGCATTGTAGTCCCGTGATCACCGGATCCTGGACGTGCATCCCACTGTCAGTGTTTGCCACCAGCATGGTTGGAAGCCTGGCTATGTCTCTGACGCTGTCACAGGACGAGCAAACTGACCTGGTTAATTTACTAGGCCAAACTGAGTCGCTCACGCCTGCCTTACAGTCCTTGTTTGGGCGTCTTCAGCAAACACAAGGCTTTCAAGAAAGTCGGGATGAGCTCGCCGGCTACATTACATCCCTTGCTGGTGAGTTGTCTGCACTTTTTCAGGTGCAAAGAATAAAAATAACCTGATTGGACAGCGGGCCCGGCTGTAGGGCATACTAATTCAAGTGAACAAGCTCCTTCAAGTTCAGTAGTGTCGACATCTCAGAAACGCACTGGTTACGGTACTCATAGCGCGGAACTATCAACTAACACCGCAGTGCAGGATAACGGTAAGATTTGCTACCCGGCAGTTAATTGCAGGACTAACCTGTACGGACAGGGACACATGGCGGCACCGTCAGTGGAACCCAGGACTCAGAGGTGGGCCCTGTGCGATCGGCGAGGTCCGAACGTCCCTCTCGGGTTTCCAAGAAGCCTTATGCCGTGGACAAGTACCCTCCCGGAAACGCGAGACAATTGCTGCGTCTGCGCCCGCAACACCGCTGGGATCCTGATTGTAACAGGGGGGGTGTAGTACACGCTCCTCTGCAGTGGGATCCGCTAGACGAACCTGTCCAAGCTTTGTCGGCCGCCGTCACGAAGTCTCTGAGTCTGCTTACAGCCAATCTCACGTCTGAACGCGTATTGGACACCGGCAGAGCGGTATATCGGAGCATGGCTCTGTTACAAGACGCTCCGTTCAAGGAAGACGAGTCCCTCACCGATTTGGCAGAGAGGTGCTCATCAAGTCTGAAGCTCGATACGTCGGCCAGTTTCTGGTCATGATCAGCATGATACGGCTAGCCTGTAGAATATCAAGGTGAGTGTAGAGAAATCTGCCGTCGTATGTGCTCACGGTAGCGTTTCTCAATGTCCAGCCTCCTTCAAACGAACGAGGACCTGACCGTGACCGAGATCTGGCGCCAGGAATTCGAACAGATCAAGGGTGCCCCAAAGAAGAGAACATTCCAAGACTGGAATACCATGGGCATTAAGTATGCAAGATTTGCCGGCGGAGGTGCGCCGCCTTTCCTCGGGAATTACGAGGTCTGCAGAGGATTGACCAATGTGCAGGGTCCATACACACCCTGGTGCTTATTGCGGCACAGAATCTCAGAGGCCCACTCGGCACTGCAGATGGACAAGTAGCACGGGAGATTGGCAACCTACTGAGGTGGCCGGGCAGTGAGTAACTTATTGTGGCATGATTGTCTCCCTGCTTACAGGCAGACATAGATTCAAAAAACGGCCGCACTGTCAAGGAGATCATAATACCCGCGGTTGCGCTTCTTCGACAACGCTTCCCTACCATGGCGATTCAATTGCCTGATACCGGGACTCATCATTCTGACGGCTCGACGACTGGACCATACTGTCACACCCTGCTCTGTGGTGATCTAGACGCATCCGACGACTTCTTTGACTCGTTGAAGCTCAAGTGAGTGTGTCCGTATTAGCCGTGTGTAGCATATGCCTTACTGTGGATTCATAGTTCGTTTTCCCTGGTACCAAGATGCAAAACCAGTTGGACTTCATGCTTCCTTCCTGGTTCATTGGCCGGTGATAGTAGAGGCCCTAGCGTCGGCGTTGAACAAGAGAGCGCTTTGGGAACATCGTCACCGCTGACACCATTGAGATCGGAGGATTCCTTTGCAAGCGACCCGAGTCATGAAGAATACGGTGGGCAGTTGCTTCCGGCTGATCAGTGGCTGTCCGACAACATTGCCACCGAGGTATACGTCATTCACACAACTTACGATGCTCAGCATGAGGACAACAAGCGTTATCCTGCTCCCCGCGGTGACAAGGACAGGAACGTTGCCTGGACGGAAAATGCTCGACTACAAGCCCAGGATGCAAGGGTACCCACGAGCCTTCAAGACCTGGAACTTCAAGTACGTTGACAAACTTCGTTTTTTTGCCATGCTCAATGGCTTTTCTTGTATCACGCAGTTAGGAAAATTGTACGTTGATGGAAAGAGATTTGCCGAAGAACAGTATGTCCGCGTGCCGTTAGAGCTTGTACCGTGAGTCACATTGCAACCACTATTGTCGTGTTGAGGTTAAATATCTGCAGGGATGTGCTGACTATACGCGGCGCTGAAGGTGCCTTGATCGCCTGCGTTTGCACGTCCATGCCGGCGAGCATGCGAAGCAACCTCATCAATGGCTTGATTGCCTGTTTCGACAAGGACCCATTGAAGATGGTCGACACTGCAACCTCAAACGTCTCACAGAGATATCAATTCGAAACGATACACTTTTCATGGTATAATCGACATTGCACGAAAGTAAGTGGAATAGCGAGTTCAATGACAACTCACCTCACTGTAATCCCATACTATAGGGACATGAAGCCCCGGATGATGTACCCCCGCAGATGATGAGCAGATCCGGCGTCTCAAGAACGAATTACGGCCAGCTAATACCTTATACCTCCAAGGACATGGAGGATCATCGATCCATATACCAGTCACTGAAGTCAATTCTCGGGGACGTATTCAGCTGGATCGAACACAAGGTGAGGCTTGTTTGTCAATATGCTGTCATACCGCACACAACTGAACAAATCATTGTAGTTACAGCACGTTCTTCCAGGGGAGTACCGGCATCTCGAAGCAACCGCGGACATACTCCCGGAACATCACCGTTCACTCGCCAATCCCTTCGTCAGCCTGGTCGTGAACCTCAACGTCGCAACGTACGCACATAGGGATAGCAAGGACGACACGATCTGCCTCGTACTACCCATTGGGGATTTCAAGGGCGCCGAGCTTTGTCTCGAGGAACCAGGTATTGTCCTACCAGTCCAGAACGGGGACTTTGCTGTCTTTCCGTCTTGCCGGGTCACTCATTATAACCTGCACTACAAGGGCACTAGAGCGTCGATTGTGCTACATACTGACAAGGAAATGTCTACGTGGAGGCTAGGCGACCGTAACGGGTGGTCGTCTAACACTCATTTTCGCTAGACGTAGCACGGAATTCCTTAGACCAATTGTGCGTACCGTGCTATAGTATGTTGATCCTCACACAGCTCGGTCACTTTTACTTGATCACTTGTCTACAAGTACCTTAAGCTTCTGCCTCGGCTCTCCGCCCTGTGGGAATATTATGCGAGCTTCCGTGCACACGAAGAAGTTGAACTGGTAAGGTCGGCGTCTCGTTTTGACCCGCTATCCGATCTCTCTCTGGCTCTGTCGACCATGGCTACACGCAAGACGCGCTCGAGTACCAAGCCGGAGGAGCTGCCCGCTGCGCAGCGCAAGAAGCCCGGCGGAACAAGGGGCAAAGTGACGCGGGGGGCAACAAGTTCAGCCAAGGCGGCGTCTCCCGACGTGGATGGCGATGCGATGCCCTTGTCTCAAAGCGAGGAGAAGATGCTCGGGGAGCTTCTCAAACGAAGGACGGCGACCAAGCAGAAACAGGTAGTGGAAAAACAAACTGGTGAGTGTGCAACGCATTACGGTCGTGATCGCTTACTTCAGTGCCAACGCAGCCGTGCGCAAGAGAGCGAAGGCGTTAGTTGACGCAGAACAAGCCGCTACCGAAGATGACGAAACTCAGCCGGCACGCAAAAAATCGAAGAACGTGGAGGAGCCAGCGAACGATGCAGAAGAGGAGGATGACGACCTCGAGGCCGACGCTCACATGGAGAGCCCCTCGCCCGTGCATGGTCAGTAGCACCCCAACTATTACATTCGACTTTGTTCCTTACATCGCACATCAGCAACACGCGGTGCTACTAAGGAAGCGTCCAAGAACAAACGCAAGGACACCGCCGTGGTGTCCGATGAAGGCGAGCAGAGGATTGTTCAGTCACTTGGTAAATGTTTATTGCACGCATCGGTCTATCAATCCTTAACTCCATGCACAGGCTCTCGTAGGAAGGGTGGACTTGCGCTCAAGGATGATGAGACCGCATCCGATCAGTCGGAAGGCCGCGCCAAAAGCCCTGTCAAAACACCCCGTAAGGTCGGCCGATTGAAGAAGCAGGCCTTCGTGAGGATAGATGTTTCGGTAAGTCGCTAATATTGGTAAATTTGCAAAGTCCTGACCTATGGTCATCGCCGGAGGCGAAGGGCAAGAGCAAGGCAATCTCAAAGCTGCCCAGTACCGCGGACTCAGACGATGACGATGACGAACACTCGGGCAAGATCATATCTGACCAGAGCAGCGAGGACAGTGGGATTGAGGATTTTAGAGACGACGAGGATGGATCGGACGATGTCGTGGTGAGTCCGGTGTTGAATCTACAGGGAAGGTTATCGACATTGCAGCACAGGACGTGACACAATCAAAGGGAAAGAAACAAGCCACAGGAAAAGTAGCTCGGGTCAAGGCTCGTCCGCGAATCAAGGCGGGCGATCTGCCTGGCGATATTCGCCCTCTCGTTAACGTCGCGCAGAACTGCCTCCGTCTTTACCTCACTCTCAACTGCGCGTGGACCAGTGACGCGACCGTCTCCAGCTCTCGCCTCAGTACCAACCTCGACGCTGTCAGCACTGCCCTGAAGGAAGCCCGCGACACGCGCGACAAGGAGGGGCACAAGGTGAAGACCCTGAAGAGCGGCTACAATATGTTGCAGGACCCCGAGGATGGCGATGAGCTGACGAAGAGGGTATATACGGTGGTGAGTGGTCCATCTAAATAATCGACCGTTGACTGGACACACGACGAGTGGCTGCAGGTATGGACGACGGCATCGCAGTTGCGGAACGAGGTGAAGAAGAAAGCCAAGGCCGTCATTGAGCACGCGTACGGTATGAATACCCTCTCAACACAGCAACGCATGTCTATCGCACACTGGCTCCTTAAGGCGCACCCCATGAAGTCGAAGTCAACCAGGCTCGAGATTCCGAACTTCGTGTTCGGCGACATGCACATTGTCTGGCGGAAGGACCGAGTGGACACGAAGGTAAGCAGTCAGGGTTTTAGCACGTAGAACAATTTTATTAACCAATTGCACGGTGGACCCAGGAGAGCTTTGTGAAGATACAGCTTCCGTTCAGGCACCCGGCGATCGCGGAGGTTGTGGTGCAGCAGTGGTTTCAAGGCCATTCCGGAGCCAGTATGCCGGTGGAACGTTTCAGCGACGTGCCCGACAACTTAATCTGTCTCGTCTGCAATTCGGTGAGTGCTCTAGTCCCTAGTTGTGAGATCCTGACAAAGACCCCGGTTGATCAAGATCGAGGTCGCGTTGAGGGAGACAGCGACTGGCACACCGGTCTCATTCTCCAACAAGCAATATGCTCCTAAGTAAGACTGTACCACTTACATGTTCACTGGCTAACGTGTTGACAGGTGGAATAATCTCATGTCGGTGCTCGGAGCCATATCCACCAGCGCCCCCGACTACTACCAGGACATGAAGACATTCCTGTGGAGTCGGATCAGGTATGTCCGTCTGAGACTTCTAGGTCAATACTCACTAATATCACAACATCCCAGCACCCGGATCGAAGGCAAGGGTGTGGACACGTCCGAAGATGAACAGGACCAGGACGGCGATTTCACGGACTTTGCGGCTGAGCTCCAGAAGCTCGTCAAGCCTGCGTCTACGTCCAGCACCCCGGCGTCTGCGAAGCCATCTTCCTCCGCGAAGCCATCTTCCTCCGCAAAGCCATCTTCCTCTGGGAAGCCGTCCTCTTCTGCCAAGCCGTCGTCTTCCGCAAAGCCGTCCGCAAAGCCGTCCGCGAAACCGTCCGCCAAGACATCTGCCATTGCTAAGACTTCGACAACAAGAGCGGCGGTCACGCAAGGTAATGCTAGAGTCGTCTTGTGCGCAATAAGGTTCTAAGAATCTCGCAGACAAGGACCGTGACTCGGATGCTCATGAACAGCCATCTGAGATCGACGAGCTGGGTCCTGAAGGCGATGATGGAAAGGGGCGCGAGAACAGCGGTGGTAAGGATCTTTTACAACTTCAAGGCAACATGTTGACGACATTATCACACGTAGACAATCAGCCTGAAGAGCAGGATGATGATGTTGTCGAGTGAACGCCTCCACAAGTTGCTCGCCAGGTCTTCCAAGGGTATGATATTTCAAATCACCACTTAACTACGGGCTCGTACGACTGATTCTGACCGACTTTTCTAGGTACAATATTATACCAATGTCCGTCCTCAATACCTCAAACCTTGGAAGGAAGTTCTCAGTTCTCGGAGTTGCGCCACGCGCGGTTCACGAAGTCACGGCGGTGCACGTAGTAGTACTGCATCGTCTTTAGTTACGTTTGTTGCTCATCCTATCCACAGTTGTACTTGTAGTAGTAGCTAGAGTGAATGTGTCCGTTGTCAGTCAATGAATATTTTGCCCTGGTGGTGAATATAAATCGGGGTGCCACCGGTGCACGGGATTGAGTTGCACCCTTTTGGCTAAGTAAATTAGCGGTAGCAAGTCACGTCTTTGAAGCCCTTGTTAAGGCTCTCTGTGCAGTGGACAACACAAAAACTATGGCTTTAAAACAAGGGAGACAAGTACATGAGCTCACTTTACGACCTTAGGAATAGACAGGTAAGTAAGTCACTTGTCTTTAGACCTTGTGTGCCTTTTCTACCTTGAACAAGGCATACAAGACAGCTCATTTTTTCCTGATGTGGTTCATGGAGGCGCAACGTACCGTGCACTTCCTGGCACAGGGAAGTTCTGACCCAAAAGTCGTACTCCAGCGCGAGGGCATGACCGAACGGCTGGAAACGCAGATCGCGACCGTGGCAGCAATGCTCCGGGAGGTGTCCCTGATTCCGACCCCTACGAGCACAGAAGGTCCTGTCCGTGTAGTTGATACGAGTGAGTGCTCTGGACAATCTGAATGCTGCCCAGCGTACTGACGCGACGTAAAGCGGTGTTGTATGAACATCCGTTGAAGCAATCGAACCCACTTGTGGTAGTCGCGATCTTCCTCGCCCTCGTTCTGCAACTTCTCGGAGGCGTCACGCGCCAAATGTGCAACTTCACGCTTCACGTTCTCAAAACGTTCAGCGAGATGGCCATCGGACTGAATGGACCACCTAGTCCCATGGATCAGAAGGTCCTTATAGAGTTTCCTACCGACATCCGCACAGTGCGACGGCTGTTCGACCTGGATCCCATCGTTACCGACTGGGCAGCATGCCCCGTCTGCTCCATGACTTACGAGCCTACATACGCCCCCGGCACTCCTAAACTACCTATCTATCCACGCCGCTGCAGCTATCGCCCGTGGCCGACCAGCGAACCATGCAATGCTCGCCTCACGAAGAGCGGAGTGAGGAACAGCGAAAGTATACGCGTCCCCATTCACCCGTTCCCAGTCCAAGACTTCGATAGCTTCGTCGGGCGGATGCTCAGCCAACCAGGCGTCGAGGACGCGATCCGTAGCAGCCTCGCTATGGTCAGGACGGGAGCGCTGTGTGACATATCACAGGCGAAAGGTGTCAGAGAGATGTGCGATCGGTGGAAGGCAGAGACACGGTGACACCTACTGCTGGTGACGACGATCTCTTGCTGCTGTGGTCACTCTCCGTGGACTGGTTCAACCCATATCTCAACAAAATCTCAGGAAAATCAGTCTCGTCTGGCTCCATCGCGATGATCTGCTTGCTCTTACCTCCGAGTCTGCGCATCAAGCCAACTTTCGTGTACGTGAACGGCATCATGCCTCACCCGGAACCCTCAAACGACCAGATGAACCACTTCCTGCGCCCCCTCGTCAACACTTTGGACACGGCGTGGAGTCGGGGCGTGTGGTACTCACGTACATATCAACATCCGAGGGGCCGCAGAGTCCATTCCGGTGTTGCTACAGGCGTGAACGACCTCCCTGCTAGCCGGAAGGTCTCCGGACAAGCGTCACATGCGGCGCACTGCTTCTGCGCTTTGTGCAAACTCACGAAAGAAGATATCAATAACGTGAACCCCGAGACCTGGACGATGAAGACTAGGGAGGAGCTGCTTGAGCACGCGATAGCTTGGCGTGACGCACCTAATAAGACGACGCAGAAGAAGCTCTACAAGAAGCACGGAGTCCGCTGGTCAGAACTCTGGCGACTGTCATATTGGGATCCTACGAAGCTTGTGGTTATCGACGGCATGCACACTCTCTTCCTTCGTGTCGTACAGCACCACTTCCGCGTCATCTTAGGCATGGATGTTCCCGTTGACGAGGAGGACGGTGACGGTGCCGTGGCGGAACCTGATGTCGACGTGTCAACGGAGAAAGCGCTGGCCAAGTTGGATGGCAAACTCACCAAGTCCTGCACCTCGAAAGCGTTGGAAAGCTTCGCTAAGGCAGTACTGTGGGAAGCCTGTCGCCGGTACGGTGTTGACATCTCGAAGATTTCATACAGGAAGGTGAAGAAACGGACGCTTTCCGAAGCCCTGCTCGTGAGTGGACGCTGAATCATTGTTAACGACAGCTAATGGAGTATATATCAGGAACATACCAGGGCAGCGACACCAGGAACACATAAGCCGCCTCAAGATGGCCCGAATGTTCTGCCGCTCTCCGAGATCGTTGGGGATGACTTCGTCGCTGAGGTCGCGGCGTCGAACAGTACCGACGGACCACGTTCACTGTTCACCAAAGACGACCTCCTGCGCGTGCAGTCCGAAATAGCGTGCACGATGCGCCCTAGCCATTTGACGGGCCCGCCTGCACGAATCGGGACGAAAGCGCACGGCAAATTGAAGGCTGACCAGTGGAAGGCGGGGATCGACTTCGAACTTCCCGTTTACCTGATGAAACATTGGTACGCGTCAGACACTGCAGGACTGAACGAAACGGAGAAGACGAGACACGACCTTGCCGTGAACACGATGCGACTTGCGTGTGCCATCCGACAGGGAGTATCATACCGCACGTCTGAGCAGCACAAGAACGCATACGCCGCACATATGCTTGCGTATCTCACTGGCATTCGGCGCATTAGACCTGATCTATCATTGCTGCCCAGTCATCATAAGCGATGCACATACCAGAATTTCTCATGCGCTTCGGACCCATGCCGGGTTGGTGGATGTTCCCCTTTGAACGGGTGATCGGTTTGCTGCAACAGGTGAACACTAATGGAAAGATAGGTGAGGAGTACGTCCTATCTGCGGAGTCATACATTGGTACTCACCGATAATGTCAGGTCAAATGGATCGCACCATGCTGGATACGTTCTGTGCGGCCGCGAATATCAAGTCGTTCGTGCAGCAAGAGGCGTGTCCGGACGCCTTGCAACGACTCCGGCCGCTGATGGAATCCCTTCTCAAAGCGGACACTCGAGGTACGCTGATGTCGCAACTTCTACCAAACAATGGCGTCGGAGCCACGGTTGCGGGAGACGAGATCAGCAACTACCTCAAATTCAAAGAACTCGACAAACACTACTACGAGGCCATGGTGAGCCAGCAGACGGCGATAAAGGTCGACTTACCTGACTGGACGCCTGGACGGAGAGCGATCATGCATAATCGCTATACCTTCTCTGGTCTAACGTACTCAAAGTACGTCGAGGGGAAGGCGGGCGGCATCATCTTCTTCCAGCCACGCACGGCGACGCCTTCATTCCTGGTGTTATACGTGAGATATTCGCGGTTGCAGCTTTGGACAACTCACGGCCGCATCTTGTTGGACATATGCTCCTCGCAGTCCAACGCTTCCAGCCCCGCCCACCGTCGGTCGTCGATCCGTTCCTCGCGTACCCTGATTTCGGAGCCAGTATTTGGTCTCGCACGACGTCAAGGACCATGGAGATAATTCCTGTAGTACGGGAGTTACATCACGCAATCGTTCAGCCTTGGGACGACGGGACATATGTCCTGAAGTCTACAGCGACGGTGAGTTTTCAGCATACTACGATTAGCGATTTCTTACCGCGGGGGAAATGCAGGCCTACTAAGCACTGAATGGCTTCGGGCATCGGTATGTACGCCGTCCATTACGCAGCTATTACAGTCATCAGGCATACAAGCCTTCTGTGACTGGTGTTCTACCGACATACCATCACTATACGACAGCCCATTCATACTTCTGTTATGAGCCTATACAGGCTCACAATCGCTTATTGATCGACTACTTCGAATGTAACTACGTTGAAGTACTACGCTACCCATCCCGTGTAAGTAAGATGACTCGGGACGATGAGAGTGCGAAAGAGGAAACGGTAGCGGTGCTGAGCGCCCTATCAGTCACCGCCCGTTTAGGGCAGGCGAGAACTCGGAGCGCCCGGGCCAACCGGTCCTAGGACCAGCTGCCATACGGCCCGCCGGAGATTGCCACGGCTTTGCACCTGCCCTAAACGCACCCAGGATCGTCTGAGCGGTCCCAAGGTACTTCTCTTCCTTTCGATCCACCACGTCGCGAATGCCCTCCTTAGTGTAGCGTATGTAGCATGGTAGCATACTATCAATGTAATAGTTAATATATCACTTACTATTGATGTCGTAGTCGGGACTGCGTTCCAGTAGTGTAGATCTTTAATGCGATCACAGCAGTGCCGACTCGAGTCAGCAGTGTCGGTTCCAGCGAACAATAAGAGTTCGTGTAGCATGGACGGCTGATTGATCAATCAATGTTGACCGGAGATGATCCTGATGAATCGTCCCAAGGTGAGTCTTTCTCCGTGCACCTGTTTTGGCAGAGGCGACATGCGGTTTCAGGAAGCGATATTACAAGCGGTGCAATGCCCGGAGACAGACAAAGTGCGTTATTGTCCATTGTTCTCATTGTTCTCGTACTGTTGTCTGAGTGACGGCTGCGCTCAGAGTCTATATCATTTGGTGCATACGAAGATCGCCTCCATCCCGAGTCGCATAGCCATGGCTCACCTCTCGCATCGTCCCGCCCACCAGCTCGTTCGGCGCCAGTACTCGACGTTCCCTCTACAAATCGACTTCACCGCAGAACACCTGCTCACTCACCCCCTGAATGCTCTGGAAATGGATTTCGAGCCTGAAAATCCACCCCCGCACAGAATGTTCGACCCTGCCACCGAGACGGTCGTTCTCAGTGATCGGCCCAAGATTCGCAAGCCGGACGGTGAAGTCGCTCGCCCTGGCAGAGGTGGCTATACGCTTGCCTCTGATTTGAAGTGGCCCGACGGTTTGTACGGCAAAGTTCAGGTGTGATATGCCACCAGCCCGCGTTAGGCGATATATTCACTAGCTTCTAGCATAGGGTCGCCGCCTTGGCCACGAAACACATGAAACCAATCAGTCTCAGCAATCAACCTCTAGAGGCCATCAAGACCGTGTGCGATGAGGTATGTACATGCCACTACCCATATTTGCGCCGGCTCAAGGACGATAATAGGCCGCGAAGTCTTTCCCTGTCTTGCTGGACTACGAGGATCATTGGGTGACTCGCGACATGCTCAAGACTCACTTGAAGAACAAGGCGCAGCGTGCGAAGTAACCGGATCCGCATCTAAGCCCCATGTACGTTCGTTGCGCCCCAAGGTTTAGTGATTGTCACTTACGACTCGCGTTCTCATGTGTCTGTTTCTTGAAAGGTGTTCGTACAGTTACATAGACGTTCGTACTTAAATTTTGTATCCAACACGGAAAGAATCCATGGGTTAGTGATCGGCTATATCGCGGTGCCGCCGAGAGTTCTTGTGATGGTTGTACTCTCTATTGTGCTCCGCACAACAATAAAGTGAGTATCGTGGTATTGTGGTACATAGACAGTGAGGCAAGTGATCAGCCGATCTAAGTATACCGCACCTCCCACTGACGATGTCATGCCAGTGACAGCGACTGAGGATGAGCTCGACACCGTACACGAAATCCTCTTGTCGTCTGCATGCACCACGACATACGTTAGATCTCTGCGACTTACCATCGCACACCCCCTCTGTGAACGTTTACAACTGTCAGTGAATGGCACGGGACGCTCGGGTAGAGCCCTCCGGATTGACTACTGCCGTGCACTTGACCTTTATGTTCGTATTCTACTGCTTTAATAGCTGATCTCCCGCTAATAGTTCGCCAGAGACGACATGACGTTGCGAAGCCAACGGATGGCAAACGGAGGGCTAACGACGTCGCAGGACCAGAATCCGTGAAGCGCAAGAAGGGCTCGCACTCGGAAAGCAGAACACGTCTTAAGAGGTCTGCCATAGATGAAGAAGCCCAGGACGTCTCGAACGACCCGCGTGTCATAAAGCGTATGCGCGTCCAGGATGGTCGCACAATTGTACTCGTTCGTTCCAAGGGTACGAGTGCGGGGCCTCCGGAGAGCTCTACCTCTCAGGCTTTGACTAGTGTGCCATCTTCCGCGCCATCTCAGCCCATTACGACCACTCAGCCGACGTCTGCTGAAGATGTTGCTGAGGTCAATTCCCCAAAGCCTCGCGAGCGCAATACTCAACAGCAACGCAAGCGACTGCCCATACCAGTACAGGACAAGGTTAGAAGCTATGTTCCGTACCTTTATTCAACATGCTCATTATCGCGTAGACAGCGTCATTCACTGTCAAGTTATTCGCTTGTGCGGGTGACTGGGACGTCATTGCGGCGCTCGTCTTCCAACCTCCTGCACCCGGTGATTTAGACATACCATCTCTAAAGAAGCTACTTGGTGTCGCGGGTTGTCTACAGGTATTCTCTCGCTGTTTCGTGGTGTGGTGAATGACTGAACAAGAGGGTAGGTCATCGATCCAATTAATCTCAAGCCTTTCCACTATTATCGGCCTCATATTGTCGAACATGACGATCTCGAAGAATTACTCGTGAACGGATACTTGAGAGTTGTGGTGAGCAAGTCCGTCAAAGTGTTCGGTATGTCTTGACATTGTTGCCTTGCTCTGCAGGAGACACATGCATGCAAGTATTGCGCTGGGGCGAGTGCTGCCTCGTAGGAACTGCAGGGATAGTGATATTCTAGACAGTGTTAATGCATTGGGTTGTCGTTGATCACTGAGAAGTGGGCCAGAGTGAACGGTACACCGAATGGCCTCGATGAGCATGCAATTTCGGTAAGCATGGTGGTAAGTAAGTAAAGATTTGTAAGTTTGTAAGTAACGACAATGGACGATCACGACGCCGCTCAGCGGGCCACTCAGGGGGCTATGATTGACACGCTCATATAGGGCCGCCGAAAATCCAGCATTTCTGCCCGAGATTTGCGAGTTGCCCAAATCTCGTCCTAAGCCCAGCATTTGCGCTCGAATACGCGACGAGCCCAAATTCAAAATTTACGAGTGTCGTATATTTTGCATTTCAGACACCATTTACGACGAACCTACTGATAGCATTCTCGGCCGAGTTTACGGTGGCCTCGTATGGTAATCCCGTTTTTGAACTTTGGTCTTGCATATTGTCTCACCCCTTATCCGTCGTCTCTTAACTTGAATACACGCCCGTCCCGTGTTCTACGTTTACGCCCGAGATTTTCGGCGGGCCAATATCCTGCCTTATATGGATACTTTAGGCTCGAATATCCGCTGACCCCAAATTGCGTCCTATCGGTCACAATTTGGGAAAGCATTTGAGCCCCATTTAGGGCGTTCCCATTCCGGCACATGTCTCCGGTGTCGGACAGCGGTTGCGGAGGATGTGCGCGAGCCGAGTCCCATGTATTAGCAGCTAGCAAGTTGTGTATACATCGCGCGTCTGGTTGGACGAGGACTCCTGAGAGCATCGAGCGACGCGCGTTGAGAATGTGGTGGTATCTACCCAAAGAACGGCGAGGGGTTATTCAAGACACTAGTGTAGACTGGCCGGAAAGGAGAAGGTACGGACAGGCGCTTGTAAGCTCGGCGTCACGGGCCGACCATGGTGGCGTCTTTTTTTTTTTTTTTTTTTTTTTTTATTCTCCATGTTTACCCTCCGTACGCTACGTACATGTGGAGCCATATATAGTCTAGGCCATACTTGTTCACCCGCCCTGTGGCGACGGAGTGAGGTACAGCGGGTTCCGTCGGGCATCGGGTTGGGCGCCAATCGCATTCATGCGATCGCGTGCCACTCGCCGTTCCAACGTATCTTGTGACGCGTCTAACAACTGACTCGCCGAGTCTGCAACTAGTACAAGCTCGGGGTCTAGCAGCGTGTCTAAATCCGGCGTGGGGATGTGTGGCAGGGCACGCATCCCGTGTCGGTCACCGGGAACATCACCGGCAAGGGAGAGCTCAAGCTCTTCCGAATCATCACGCAAGAGACCACCCTCAGCGTTGAAGGCCTCCCACGTGTTGAATAACTCGAGCGCAAAACACTCACATTTGGCATCGATGGTCTCAATGAACTTTTCGACCTCTTTGTCTGATACGCTGACATATTGCGGGGGTTTACCCATATGGTTCAGCACTTCTTTCCACTTCCGTTGTTTCCAGACGGTGTGGGCGTTAAGCCTGGCCCAAGCCATTGTGCGCTTGGAGCCGGCAGCATGGTCGTCCTTGCATTTCGCAAGAATTTCGGTCCATTCGAAGGACCCGACCCATGGGTTCAACTTCAAAAAGTCAAGAACATCAGACGGCTTCCAAGTGCGTTGGAACCGTGAGTAATAAGTGTCCTTCTTTGTTTGGTGCCACCCGAAGGGACCAATGAAGGGACTATGAGAATGCTTTTTGACGCGAAGCCAAAGAGGACATTCGAAGAGCATATGGTCACGGGTTTCCTTATGGCCACCCTGACCGCATATGCAATATGCGTTCCCATCTCCAAGGAGATTGAAGCGCTCTCTGAACTCCCCGCAAGGGAAATGATTGGTGATAACACGACAGAAGCGAGCAGCGTCTGCGTTGTTACCCCATTCGGACAACCCCTTCCTGAAGATAAAGGTACGGTTGCGAACATTGGTGGGCGTCAATTCCTTGTGCCACCAGAATTTCTTGCCTAAATAGGCATTAGGTCGCGCAACAATGGACGGGTCTGGAATACCCGCCACGTTGACCCGCTGCACATGTCTGGATGCTTGTAAAGCTCTGCCCATGAATGAAGCATTTCCTTCCGAATTTGTTGGAGTCGGAAGGCAAATGAGGTGTGCGAGGATACAGGGAGCCTCGCATTTCCGTGATATCCGAAGCCATTTGATCGACTTCTTCATTCCACGTTATGCCCACATGAGATGGGCTCCACAGGAAGATGATTTTGCGACGCTTGGGGCCATCACACATCCGCTTCAATGATAGGTTAGCCTTGATTCCGACCAATTGACTTGGTCCGTCTCCAGGCTTAATGATGCGCCGCAAGTTTGATATACTATCACTTGCCAGCACAATGGTGTCGTCCTCGTCCTTGATTAAGGTTTCGAGAACTTCTAGCCCTTTTGCCGAGGCCATGACCTCGGCGTCAAAGCTCGTTGAACGGCCTGCATTAAATGCACCCCCTTCTACCTTTCTGGATTGACGTGTGATGACATACGCCGATCCAGTTCGTACACAGTCAAGATCACCGTTTTCTGTGACTGCAGACCCGTCGGTCCACACCACTACCGTGTTTGGATTGGCCTCAAGGCGATTAACCTTGGGTGTCCAAACGTTTTTAACCCAGTCTTTGAAGGCCTGGGAAATTTTTCCATCTTTGTCCTTTTTCCTTGGACCGACGTCAATGTCTTCTCGATGCTTGTCTCTTTTGCCAAGCTGGAAGAACATATGGGTGATGCGATTCTCGTCATCAATGTCGACGAGCCGATCCCCCGGTCTGGCTAGATCGCTAAGGAGCGAAAACTCCTCGTTCGATGCTAGCCCCATGTTGCCAAGGCCCTCAATGGGGTCTTGGCAGACTTGCGCTTCCCTTCTGGGAAGGGATGCTCGACATTGGTGGAGTTGGTCATCCACTTGTTACCGAGGATTGCCCTTGTAGGGTGTCCCTCGTGTAGTTTCCTGAATCGGAGCGCGTAGCGGTCCATGTATCGGGTAATATTAACCATCACCGGCACTAGTCCGGCTAAAGTTTCCATTGCTCCGATGGGCGTGGTGCGGAAGCACCCCGTGATCCATCGGCAGCTCTGGATTGAGCGGTCTGCATTTCTTTGCCGATCCACTTAATCCCTTTCCACTTTGGTTTCCACCAAAGTTGGGCGCCGTAGCACATGAGAGGAATCACATGTGCAATGTACAGCTGGCGTTTCTGTGCAGGAGTGAACCCGCGCACAGAGTTCCCAGCATCGATATCGAAGATACCGTGCTAGCAGCTTTACTCGCATAAAATTGACATGCGATCGGAACGACAACTTGGGATCCAACCAGAACCCAAGATATCGCATGTTGCCGGTCGGCACCAAGCTGACCGGCTGATCATTAATATGTACCACGAGGTCTGGACCGAAGGTCGATCCACACGCCACGGTGCACGTTTTTTCCAGAAGTGCATAAACTCCAATTTGTCCGCTTCCACGCCTAGGCCAAGCCTGACGAGATCACGATGGAGTTGTGGAACATGTTCCGCAAGTACTCACAGTTTAGTTCCACCTGACTCTTGCCGAAACCGAAGAGTTCTTCGGTACAGCAACCATAAGTGCTCCGTCATCGACGAAGAACTGAATCGTCCCGTTGCCCGGCAATAGCTCGCAACGGATAATGTTTGTGAAGTACGGTGCAATGTACAGCCCCGACTTCACCGGAGAGAGCGCAGACCCCTGTCCCACCCCAAGGGGGGTCAAGGTAGGCTCTGTAAGCTTCCCATTGAAGAGATATCGTGTGAATCTCCCGTCAAGGTAATCAGCAAAGAATTCGCAGAGATCATCCGCGAATCCTTGCTTCCTCACATCGCAATCATCATGGTATGATTGATCGAAGGATAGAACTGAGACACATCCAGCAGAAGCAAGATGGCGTCAGGTCCTGGCCCAGGCTTCATGCACAAAGTGCGTACCTGCATTCCCGCATCAACAGTACTGTGTGTATAGTACCACCGAATTGGCATGGGTGTAAGATGCCGTATTTCTGGCCATCAAACTGCATACGCTTGGCAAGGATCTTTTCAAATAGCTTGCCGAAGACGCTAGGAGGCATATCGGCGATATGCCTTGGCTTTAGAGTAATCCGGCTTGTTGGGCTTCGGAATCACTACAGTAATGGAGCGCTTGAACGCGCTCGGGAATTTGTGCATTTTATGCACGCATTGTAGTATGCTTTGAAAAAAGCATACACTTTAGGGCCCCAATGAACAACGTCAACGATATTGCCATTGCGGTCCCTGACCTCCTCAATCATGTGGAAAATGCGCTTAGCCCATTCCCAATTAACATGATCTTCACCCCCGACGGACGTGTTCGACGTGTCTGCCAAGTTCTCTGATATCTCCTCATTGGAGATATCCGGGAATGAGCGCTTCTCAAAGGACCGAAGTTCCTCCAGGATTGACTCATCAATTGCCTTCGGGACAGAAGGCGTAAATTGTTCACGGAACTCCTCTTGGAGTTCCGCTTGTGAATTGATCGGCGTGCCGTCAGCGCGCTTAATTTGCGCGCCGGCGTCAACCGTCTCGGTTTAGCCCAACTCACAAATTAGAGATGAGCTGAGGGTGGGCCTTCGACAGCACGTTGTCAAAGAAGGTGCGCTTCGCGCGGCGTGATGCCGCTCGAACCCATTTGAGCGTCTGCTTGAGGCGCTGTTGCACATGTTCATGCCACTCATAATAGAGTCGGAATTGCTGGGATTGGTCCCGAGCGTGTTCCGTGCATGGTGGACCATTGCACGTGAGATTTGCACTGTTTGCGCACTTTTCTGGCGGCCCTGCTTGCATTACTGCATTCAAGGTTCCACCAAGATTTGGAGCGTCCGGTTCGGTCAGGTTTGGCCGCTCCAGCTTTCCATTCTGCCGTGATGCCATTGAATAGGTCGTCACCGGTGCGTTCGATTCATCAGCCATTTCCCACGAGGTGGGGAGCCGTGATATCAATTTGGCAACAGTCGTACAAAGATGTGCGCCTTGACGCCCGTCCGCTGTATTGTCGCTTCAGGTTCCGGAGGAGTCCGGAAATAACCGCCCATGTGAGCGGCGAATGGTCGCTCATGTGTTTGGCTTGGGTCTGGACTTGAAGTCCATTACTCATGATCACCCGGTACCAAAGAAGATCCAAGGTACGCGCTGCATCATGACATTGTTGGATGCCAAGTGGCAGGTCCATCCTCTGATTGCCCACAGAGCTGGAGCTCCGTGGCCAGTCCCATAGTTCCGCAACTTCGCGCCATGAGGTGGGCGTTCTTGTGGAGACGTGTCCGTTATCCCACGAAGGATGCGGAGATTAAAGTCGCCGACCATCACAGAGACGGCTGGCAGAGCGTGAGTTACATTCAGCAGTGTTTCACCGCTGCATGTTCTCGCTGTCATTGTACACGTTCAGGACCGAGAAGGCCCGTCCGGCGTGTTCATTTCTACAAGCAGCGTGTCAGGATGCGACACGGTACCTGTGATCATGTGGGGGCTAGCCCCCTTCCATTTCCGGTTGACATACGTTGCCACCCGGGATTTGTTTGACGCGCCGAAGCACGTGAAGTTGCGATGTGCAACGGTATTTTCATACTCGTCGCCATCCTTGGATTTGCTGGACGGTACACTTTTAATATGACCCCAGAAAATTTCTTGAACACAGACCACATCATGATCTCTGAACTTTTCTAAGAGCTGATGCGTATTCTCAGCAGACTTCTGTACATTGGCAGAAGCAAATTGTATACGGTATTGTACACGAGGGACTACAGGATCGTCAACGCGACTCATAGCAGCTACAGGGACAGCCAGTTGAGGGTCTGCCACACGGTCCTCGAGGAACGCATCAAGCGCCTCTTGGATATTCTCGATCGGGACGTTGAAGTCGCCGTCAGAGTCTGGGGGAAAAGAGCGAGCTGGCTCCCCCTGGTCAGCACGTGCGTCGGGTGTATTACACATTTAGGCAACGTACAAATTTAGGATTGATCGACGGGCATGCCCGTGACCTCTTCGATGCGAGCCTCGAGGGTCTCGCCAGATCCAGAAGCAACGGCGTCAGCGGCAGCTTTCGCCACGCGCTTAGCCTTAGTTCTGAGGGCGCGAATCGCGTTATCGACGCGCTTCTGTTGGTCGACCACCTTTTCGATGCCCTTGACCGCGTTGTCGTACCAAGCCTTCTGCATGTTCCGTTTCCAGAACTTGCAGCGCCGGTCGGACGGACCGTGCCCACTGACTTGACAGTTAGGGCAATACTTGTGCTCGTCAGGGCAGAGATCAGGGATCCCGCCCGTCGCGATACGGTGTTCGGCGCAGCACAACGCAGAAGCATTGTGCTCGTCTTCGTAGTGCGACTCGCCGCATCTCGGGCAGCAAGCGCGGAAGAGCACTGAGCGGCACCATGCCCCAGCGCCAACAGGTCGAGCACGGGGTTTTGCTGTTAAGCGGCGCCACGATCTCGACATTGTGCCTTGTCAGCACGTCCCGTCCGTTACCGTCACGTTCAGCGAGGAGGACAGGTTTCTTGGTGAGCGCGATAGCGCGTCTCCCGCTGTGAGCATCACGAATGGCACACACAATGTTGCCTCCTCCGTTTCTGCCTTCCAGCCGAGCGTTCGGCAAGTTGTGGAACGGTATGCATGCCTCCACGAAATTGCGGGTGTGCTTATCGACCTTGGCAGCTTCGTTCAGCGTGTTCCAGAAATAATCTGAGCCGCGGTTCTGAAGCGTGTTCCGGGCGTCCTTGTAACTCCACCTGCAGTCACGTATTGCCATAGACGTGAGCACCGTCTGGTACTCGACCTGAATCCCAACATCATCGTGCGGAATCAGCGCGCGAAGCTTCTCGGTAACCGCCGCAGTGATCGCCTCGAACTCATCATGGTCAGGACAGTTCACACAAGCGACAAACACGTCCCGATAGCCGGATTGCTTGATGTTAGCACCGACAGCCTGATTGATCTTCCCTTAGCCTTGAGGGCCAGGTTGAACCAATTGACGAAGTCCTCCGTGCTGATGGGTGTGATGGACTCGGAGAGGGACTGGGTGAGATGAATGATGATCGTCTTCGCTCCGTCCTTACTGTTGCCCTGGCGGATATGCGCAGACGGGGGAGGCTTTGGCTTGGGCGCAGTGGCCTGAGCTGGGGCGACGGGGGGCGCGGCCTTGGCGACCTGTTTCGAGGACGCCGGCGCAGCCGGGACAAGCGCCTGGGAAGCAGCATCAAGCTGAGACAGGGGCTGGAAAGGGTCCGTGGCAGAGCCAGAACCGAAGAAGGACCGGAATCCCATCCCGAGACGGTGAGCCTGATCGATGGTGAGATCCGGGGCAAGCATACCCACAGTGGACGTGTTGCGGATGTCAATCCACTGCTCGCGAGTGGTCGGCACTGGGAAAGTGCTCAACACTTTGGGAGACGAGCCGCGCGCCTTCTTGGAAGACGGCTGCTTAATCTCTCCTTCCTCGGCACCGAGTCGGCACCATTATCCTTGGCCGCCCAAGATGCAGTCCGCTTTCACGGGTCCTTCGTCGTGGGCGGTACATCGTCGGCCCAGCTGACCTCCTTCTCCTTCCCCTTGCGGCTGAGAGCGGGTCCACTGGTCGTGGAAGTGTTGGACGCGGCAGCAGCGAAGCCACCGGGTGTTGAACCGTATAGGCGCCCACCGGGCCGCCGGGTTCCACGGGCCGGATCGCACTGCACGTGCTGATCCGCACTTACCGCATAGAGCAAGTCATGCGTGGGAATGGACTATACAGTAGTATTAGTCAGCGTCTCTCAGATGTATATAAGACCCACCAGTAGCGTAGCTCTCTCTCCAGTTCTTCCTCACGGAATAACTTGTGTGCCTCAAGTATACAACCTTCAAGCAGGTAAGTTAGAGCGCGGTCCACTACGTGTGACCTTGTCTGCTCAACAGGTTATGAGCCCCGGTCGACGCCTGAGTACTGCGCCTTAACGGCTGCGACTCGGTGCGCACTGGCTTACCTGCGGCATCGCCCTCACGGGCTTGAAGCCAGGGGGAGACTATGCGCGGAAACACTGCAGGTCTCAAGCGCGACTCACGTCGCTGCTAAACCCCATGAGGACACTGAGTCCATGTGTGTGGACAGCGCCTTTTGGCTGCAGTCCGTTGTGTGACAGAGCGCTGACGTCGCCTTCGTCAAGCAGCTCTTCAACGCTTCCCCCGTTCACACAACTCTCACACATGTCCAACACTCTCCTCAACATGGTCCCTGTCCTGGACGGCTCCAACTACGCCAAGTGGTCGGAGGCCATGAAGTCCTACCTCCAGAGCCAGGAAGTCTGGTTCATGATCGGACAGACTCTCGGTGAGCGCCCGACGCTCGAGGAGGGCGGCAGGAACCGTCAGGAGGTCTTTGCGTGGACCCAGGCGGACGAGAAGGCGCAAGGCATGATACGCCTGCGCCTCAGTCCCTTGGTCGTTCAAATCGTCAAAGACAACGACTCGGCGAAGGATCTCTGGGACATGCTGTCGACGATGTACAGCAAGCAGAACGCTGCCAACCTCTACGCGTCCTTCAGGACTGCGACGACAGTGCGCGTTCCTGCTGACCAGCACCCCGCTCCTTTCCTCGCCAAGATCATCGACGCTTGCAAAGCTCGAGGACAACGATCTCAAGCTCCCCGACGCGCTTCTGGCCATGATGGCCCTGAATGCTTTACCGTCGCGGTACGACAACGTCGTGCAGGTCATGCTGCAAACGACGGACGTCAAGAAGCTCAAGATCTCGGATGTCCGGCACGCCGCCAATCTCGCCTTTGAGCAAGGCTCGGGCAAGAAGGCGTCTTCTTCGCACGACCGAAGAAGATCTCGGCCGTCAAGCGAAAGCAAGGCGAGCCGAGCTTCCAGCAGCAGCAGCAGCGCCATGACGGCGGCAGCGGCAGCGGCGAGAAGGCCGACAAGGGCAAGGGCAAGCAGCGCGGTAAACACAGCGCAAGAAGACCCGTGCCCAGAAGGACGGCGGCCACAGCAACGGCCACGACCACGCCCACATCGCCTCGCAGGCGTCTGTGGCTGGTCCCTCTACGTCCCACGTCGTGGACATCGCGCCTTCGGGCAGCAAAGTCCGCACCGTCGAAACGCGTGCGCCTGTGCAGAAGCGCCCTATGCGCAACTGCCAGCGATGGCTGCAACGCGCCCTCAAGTTGGCCGAAGAGGTCGACGTGTCTCCTACGGTCGAGCGCCTCAAAACGCTCACTCAGGTTGTCGACAACTCCGCACAGATTGAGGACTACCTCTCTGACGGAGTCGCGTGCATCCAAGCGCGCTCGTCTCTCGACGACGACGACGACGACATGGCCGAGAGGATCGACGAGGTGAACGCGGGTTACAACTCGTATGACGACGGCACCTGGGCCGAGACCCAGGAACCCCTTAACTGGGGGTCGGACGAGGAGTGGCGAGAATGTCGACGAGGACATCGCGATGGCCGCCGGGCTTGATCTGGACGAGGATGCCA